CCTAGCTAGCTGTACATGGTATCACATGCCTATAATCTCAGCGCTCAGGATGCTGAGTCAGGAGGATTACAAGTCAAAGCCAACCTGAGCCACAGTGAGTTCAAGGTCAACCTAAACTTTACAGTGAGAACTTGCCTAAAAAAAAAAAGTGCGGTACATACTGTAAGAGTACCAATTTTCCTCACACTTTGCAGAAATCATTTAAAACTTACAAGTACTATGCCTGTAATCCCAGCACTTGAGAGGCAGAGGCAGGCAAACGGCTGACAGGACAGCCTGGGTAGTAATTTCAAGGCCAGTCTGGGCTACATAGTGAGTTCCAGGCCAGCCTAGATGGCACAGTGAGATCTGGCCTCAAACAAACTATATCTGCACTCAATTGTATGCTACTACAGGTGGCACTCCAGAAGTGATATTACTTCCAGGAACGGTGGCACATACCTGTGATCCTAGCGCTTAGGTGGCTGAGGCAGGAGGACGGTAGAGTTCAAGACCAGTCTGGTTACAAAGTGAGCTCAAGGCCAGCCTGAACTGCAGTCTCAAAAAGGCTCAATAAAGTGGCACACCAACGAGAAACCGCAACAGAAAACGCACATTGTGGATCCCTTTGTAATATGCCTCAAAAATAGGAATGCCCTTTTCTTTGTAATTAATACTATACATTAACAATCAATGTTTGAAAAACATTTCTAACACAAAATTTAAGATTTATATATAGGTTATAATCTGGCGTGACAAATGTAACAGAGCAACTCTTTACTCCACTGACACTGATAAAGGTGGGATTCGTTGCTACTGGTTTTGAGGTGGGGTCTCTGCTGCCAAGGCTGACCGTGAGCTCCCATTCCCAGCCTTGACCTCCTGAGCGCCTGGGACTGTGGCAGCGAACCAGCACACTCAGTGCATTGTCAGTGTCTGCAGCTGTCTAAAGCCCACACGAAAGCAGTGTTAGGATGTGATGTGGGATAAAAGTCAGGGTATCAAAACACTTCTGCAAAAGCACAGAATCACTGCCAGTTGTCAAAAACATGACTTTTCACTCATTTTTTAGTGGGAAACTCACCGATAGCTCTCCCCAACTGTTACAATCTCTACTTCACTGTCAGTTGAGGTTACATTAATTTCTTCATTGGCAGTGACCTGGGGAGCGAAGGAAGCTTCTATCACCACAACATCTTCATCGATATTTCCTGAAAACAAAAAGGGAAAAACACTTGTTAACTAACTGCTGTATCTTCAAAAATTTGAAGTATGAGTGTAAAAGACAAGAAGGGAACATAAGTAACTCATAGCAGAATTCTGGGTTTGTCTTGTTTCTGAGATATGTGGCCCACACCGGGCTCAACTTCTTCATCCTCCTGCCTCCACCTCCAGAGTGCTGCGATTACAGGCATGCAACACTAAGTGCTTTTGATAGCAACTAGCTCATTATGAGTACTATGTGCTAAGATTAGTTTATGTAATATGAACTTTGAAACTACAATTAGGTCTGAGTTCAAAATTTTGTTTACTATGTACTTGGAAAGTCTTAAATTTTCTAAAGCTTGTTCTTCCATTTTTTTTTTTTTTAACAGATAGGGTCTCATTATTTAGCTCAGGCTGACCCTGAACTCACTATGTACCCCTGGCTGGCCTTGAACTTACAGATATCCTCCCACTTCAGCCTCCCAAGTGCTAGGATTACAGGCGTGCACCACCACACCCACCTGAATTTTTAGTTCTTAAGAGTATACATGCTTAATTGTACATAGCACAAAGTACAGGTTAACAAGGAGAAACGTACAACTTTAGGGGATGAATTTGCTTTCCTACTCCCTATATTTTTATAATACAAAATACCTCAAAGTAGCTTGTAAACTTCTAGCTACTACGTGCGTGGTCAGGTTGACAGTAATAAACACATAGTATAACTTAAAAAGAAGACATTCAGCGCAAGACTTGTAAAGTATCAGGCAAGAATGAAATACAATTTTTTAACCTTTTTTAAATTTCACATTTTTGTGAAGCATATCTCTAAAACTCTTCCATCTTGTAAATCTGGTACTCAATAATCTTAACATTTTTCCTTGGACCACCACCCCTGGTAACCATCATTCTGTTTTTCTTTTTCTTTTTTTTTTTTCTGGGGGGGGCGGTGTTTTCAAGAAAAGGCTATTTAGCCAGGTCTGGTGGCACATGCCTGTAATCCCAGCACTTGGGAGGCTGGAACAAGAGGATCCCCATGTGTTCTAGGCCACTCTGGGCTACACAGTGAGTTTAAGACTGTCCTGAATTACAGAGTGAGACCTTGTCTCAACAACCAAAAACAAGAGCCATCCAAACAGCTCAGAAGGTTAAAGCACCTGCTTAGATAGATGCAGGGGCTGGGATTTCAATCCAGCACCAGGGGTGGGCTGAAACTGTGGATGATTTCTGGGCGTGGTGGCACCCACCTGTAATCCCAGCACTTAGGAGACTGTAAACAGGAGGATCACTGCAAGTCCGATCTATGCAGTGAAACCCTGTACAACCTGTACACCCTGTCCTAAAACACAAAAATAAAATAAAATAAAATAAAAAGCAAAACAAAAACAAAAATTTTTAATATGGTTATTTTTGAGGCCTCATCTAAACAGAATTGTACATTATTTGTTGTTTTGTGACTATATTATTACACTTAGTATAATAGCCAACAAAAATGAAAATACATACATAAATATTTGGACCTCAAAGTTTCTTGTAGTGTATTCATAATAGCCAAATACCAAAAGCAATTCAAAGGCAATTCAGTAGTTGACAAAATGTAGTCCAATCAAAGAATACTACAAAGAAACTAATAAAGAGAAATGAATTACTGGTCAAAGGGTGAACCTCAAAAAATTATGCTAGCCAGGGATGGTGGCACACCTGTAATCCCAGTACTCAGGAGGCTGAGGCAGAAAGATCCAGAAGGATCTTTGTGAGTCTGAGACCAGCCTGGGCTACAAAGTAAGCTTAAAATCACTGAAACTGTGTTTTAAAACAACAACAAAAGCTAAGTGAAAATTAGACATTAAAGACCATATATTGTGATTTCATTTATATAAAATGCTTCCAAGATCTATAACCATACAGACTGAGAGTAACAGCAGGAACTGACTGAGTTTTGGGGCTTTTCGTGTTGTTTTGTTTTGAGGCAGGATCTTACTATGCAGTGCAGGCTGACCCTGAATTTACTGAGGCTGGTCTCAAACTCAAAGTGATCCTCTTGCTTCAGCCTACTCCAAAGTGCTGGAGTTACAGATGTGAACCATCATGCCTAGCCTAGGAATTGAAAGACAGTGAAAAAATCTTACAGGATTGACAACTCTAAAACTGTATTTGATAGCTGCAGAGTTCTACATTTACTTTAAAAATTACTGAATTGTACACTTTAATGAATTTCAGTGTTATATAGATTATAGAATAAAACATTTTTTAGAAGCATAAAACAGGGCCAAGTGTAGTGACATACACCTACAATTTCAGCAGAAGGCTAAGGAAGGAGGATTGCCATGTGTTGGAGACCAGCTTGGGACACACAGGAAGTTCAAGGCCACCCTGAACTACAGTGTTACAAGGTCCTGAGTTTGATTACAGGTACCAAAAAAAGTACGTCTCAAAAAACAGGGAAAAGGGGCTGGTGAGATGGCTCAGTGGTCTAGGACACCTACTTGGAACAAGCTTAGCAAAGCACAGGGACCGCAGTTCAATCCCCCAGCACCACACGCCAGTCAGCCCCACCCCCTAGTGGGCTGAGCTGGTCACACACACACACACACACACACACACACAAATAAAACTTAAAAAAAAAAAAAAACAGGGAAAAAAGTCTTTAAAAAAAAAAAAGAAAATAGTGGCCTGGGAGATGGCTCAGTGGAATAAGCGCTTCCCTGGCAAGCACAAGGGCCTGAGTTCAATCCCCCGGTTCTGCAATTTAAAAAAAAAAAAAGAAAGAAAGAAAGAAAATAGCTGGGGAGATAGCTCAGTGGCTTAAGTGTCTACCTGGCAAGTGCAAGGTCCTAACTTCAATACCGG